TTTGAAATGTATATGTTACGTCAATTTTATTTTACAAGAATGAAGTATCAAATCATCTTGAATTCATATAAAATTTTGTATATATGATCTAAGAGTAAAAAACTTTCAATCTAACGGTTGAATTTATAAAATTCACATTTAATATAAAGTTATTGAGCGATGTAATACTTAGTAAAAGTTACACCTGTGTTATTATAACACTTCTCTTTTAAAATATTATTTTTATAAATTAAATTTTAACATTTTAAATAAATTATTAATTAACTTAATATATTTATTCATCTTAAATCTAAGATATAAAATTCAAAAAATGTATTTATCCTTGTTTTATTTTCTAATTATCAACCATTAATAAAATACTAATTTAAAATCTTATCAAGTTATATCATAATATTTTCATATCAAGTTTAAAACCAGATATTAGTTATAAAATATGTTAATTTGTGTTGTAATTTTATTTCAACATGAAACTTTAAAATAAATGTGCGAAAAAAAAAAACTCCGTTAAAACAGTCACGTATTCTATTTGATAGAGAAAAAAGCAAGGAAACGCATTGTGATGTATTAAAAACTGATCAAAAAGAACCAGTGGGTGGTTTGCCCAATTAGTTAAGGGGGAAGACTTAAGATTTTATCCACGTAAGTATGTGTGTGGATTCGAGCTCTACTGTCAACAATTTTAGCATTTTTAAACAAAGCAGGTGTAATTGTAATAAAAAAGAGGTGTATATGTCATAAGTTAAATACTATGAACATCTATGAGTAAATTAAAATCAAAGGATAATAATTTTTTAAATTACTAAAAAATATTTCATTTTATAATTGTTTCACAAATTCTTACTAATTTTTGCATAAGTTAATTTTTTAAACAATAAAACTAGCACGATTATATCAATTGAATTGAATGATTAAGCCTAACTTTTAAAATAACAATTGAAATAAAATAAGATTCATGAAAATAATTTCAAAATATATTAGGTAAATAATTTTTATATATAATAAAATTAAAGACAAGGATTAAAATAATCAATGGAGTTAATGTAATATTCATTTATAAATATTTAAATAAATTATAAGTAGCAAGGTATTATTTAATTGATGTTTAAAATAAAATATTTTATAATATCTAAATGAATTGATTTTTAAGATAAACTATTATATACATATTTAATTAATATAATTTTAAAATATATATGTATAATTAGATATATTTTAAATAAATATTTTTATATTAAAAATTAATTTATCATTAAACAAAATAAAAATATTTCAAAATATGGTTGTTGTTGAATCAGTTTCCCATGGTGGGATCATATTCATATATAATAATAGAATCATGTCTCCTCAAAGAAGCGATATCTACCCCAAAGTAGTACGAGCATAATCGAAGATAGATGGTATAACGTATTTTAAGTAATTGATCTCATGTGTTATTGGTGTATATATTTATATATATAATTTATTTTATAATTTTTATTTATTAAACTAATGGAACATTAATTATATTTTATCAATTTTAGATTTGTTTGATAAATTTTTATTAATCCTTATATAAGCCAATTATTTTTAATTTAATGGAACTAACGTGTTTATATCAATTGAACTAGATGTTTAAGTCAATTTTGAAAATAATAATGAAAATAAAATAAGATTTATGAAAAGAAGTTTATTTATCTTAACAAAATTGGAAAGCACAATAAATTATGTATTTTCATATTATCTAATAATGTAATAAAATATTAAGCATGGTAAAAGAGAAATAAATTTCTCAAGAGAAAAATAAATAAATTTTCTAGATAAATTATTATTTAAATTAGTCTATTTTTTTAAAAAAAAATTCAATTAAAAAGATTATTATTTAATTTTCATTTATAGCATTATGTTTCTCATTTTTTTAATACATCATGATATATTAATTATCTATTTTAAATTATATAATTTGTATTATTTTAAAAAATAAATTAATTTTATTGGGAGGGTATTAATTTTTATTTCTTATCATTAATATTTTTATCATTATAAAAATAATATTATATATTTTTATATTTGCTTTCATTTAAAAGAAATATATTTCTAAATTTTTTAAAAAATTTACATTTAGCGACCGATTTTAATTTGGTCGCTAAAATTATTATAAATAATAATATTTTTTTATCTTTTTAGCGACCGATTTTAATTTAGTCGCTAAAACTAGTATAAATAATATTATTTTTATTTTTTTGCGACCGATTTTAATTTGGTCGCTAAAATTATTATAAATAATAATATTTTATTTTTTTAGCGACCAATTTTAATTTAGTCGCTAAAATTATTATAAATAATAATATTTTTTTATCTTTTTAGCGACCGATTTTAATTTAGTCGCTAAAACTAGTATAAATAATATTATTTTTATTTTTTTGCGACCGATTTTAATTTGGTCGCTAAAATTATTATAAATAATAATATTTTTATTTTTTTAGGGACCGATTTAGCGACCGATTATTTGTCACTAAAAAATTTGGTCGCTAAATAAAATTTGTAACCAAATTAGATTCGGTCGCTAATTATGTCGCTATTAGCAACGGAAAAAAATTGGTCGCTAATTTTGATCGCTAAATTGACTTTTTTTTTTTTTTTTTTTTTT